TACTTATTATAATGTGTAAAAATCACAACTAAGAGATTTGGAAGTGGCGGGAAGGAATAAAAAAATGGGCTATAGACAGTTATATTATTTAAAGCTTTTATTGCATATGTTTTATAAAAAGAAATTTTTTAAATTAGTTCACACCAGAAGTTGCAAAAACTTACCTATTCCGAAAATGAAAAAAACTATAGGTCATCATTGTCTTACCTACTTGGGCCCAAAAATGTATAATAACCTACCTGATAGTATAAAAAATATCAATGGTAAAATGTGCAAGAACTATATACAACACCAACCCAGACAGTTCACTGATAATGAAATTGATCTTAAAAACACATCATAAATAACTTACATTTTGCATATTTTAATTTGTCCAAACGAAGTCAATTATTGTTATTCAATTATTTAATTAATTGTGCAAATTTTTATGCTAAATACCTTTTATTTTATTTTATATTTATTAAATAATTACTAACTCTTACAAAATATTACTTATTATTATTGTTATTTATATTTCTATTTCTATTCACTCACAAATGTGTAATTACATTTAAGTGTTTTAGCATATTTATTGATTTTAATGTAACTTGCAATCTATGTTATTTTCTCTACTTATCAATAAATATTATTATTGTTAATATTATAAACTCAATAAATTATTATAACGCCAACAAACTTAATACCCACAAATAAAATTTCAACGTGTCCAATAAATAATATTTTCTATAAAAATAATTTGTTTTAATTTACAAATAAAAGCCTATTAAACCTTTACATGACATAATAATTTAGTACCTACTATAAATTTGGACCATTTATCCAAAATCAATAAAATTCGCATATTTCTGTTATTCAAATATTTTTCCATCATACGTTGAAAATGAAATATGTATGACGAAGCAGACAATATATTCAATTCTGTTTACCTTTCTAATAATTTTTAATTGTCACAAACAAAAATTTGCTGGTTGTATACAATTTTAATTGATATTTAAAAAAGTTTTATTTATTTGTTTTTACATATTTTATTTATTTTTGTTTAAATAAAATAATTAATGTCTACATGCATTTTATTTACTTTATACGAATGGGCTTGATGTTGTAGCATTATTGGCGTTTATGGCCGATAATAAAATATTACGATTTTCAGTTTGTTACAAATTTAAATAAATATACTATAATAATTACTTAAAGACATGAGTAAAGAAGTTTTAAATTATTTTTATTGTTTTATACATTTAATATTGGTATTTTAAAATTTTGTGGTCTCTTTTATATTATTTTTAGCAAGTTGTTCTTATTCAATCAACAATGTTATTAAAACTTTTCGAAACTTTTCTTAAACTTTGTTTTCTCTTTTGAAACTTTCTTAAAAACGTTCTTTTAGTAGACCAGCAATGGAAATAAAATATATTATTCGTATTAAAGTGCAGACTGGAGAGTTTAAATAAAAAAAATAGTCTGTTGACAAGTAAATATTCATAAAATTCGAAAGTGTTAGCTCCCCCATCCTCAGTTGATAATTGGGTTGATGTTTAAATGAGATTTCCATGTAAATATCAACGGGAATGTTGCAGGGGCACAACTTTTAATTTAATCAAAGAACTTGACACTCGAGGGTGTTTTTGGATGGAATGGTTTCTGCAATGGCGAAGGGTTGACGGGGTGGTATATCTGGTTTTCGGTACACGCAGTGGGCCAATTAATATTCACAACCCTTAACGTTCAACCCCCTACTTCGTCTACGCCTGGCCATGGAATCTTTATATGAATTATTCAATATTCAAAACAGACATCTTTGTTTAGCTTTTTAATTAACGAGATTTTGTGAATTAAATAAATATTTTTTTTGGAAGTAACCTATGCCCCAAAAATTGATGGTGTTTATTTAAAAGGAGGAAACATGTATACCGAAGAGAAACTGTTGTTTTTAGAATGCGAATTTTAAAATAATACCCTATTTCCGACATTTTATATCCGACAACATGGTAAAAATTAATTATTTCTGATTTGTAAAATATTTTTCATGCAGTCCCAAGAATTGTTGGGTTTTGAAATATATATTTTTTAAATTAACCGTCTTTACACAATAACACCCTTTAAAATTTTAATTTTTATAAAGATTTTTAAACGCAAATAAATATAATACTCCATTTTAATAATACAAATTTCAGAATAAAAGTGTTAAATTTATAGACGTATTGTTATTAACATGCCATGTGTAAGTCGTACTGTCAGTGTTAAAATTACAAGTTTTTTATTGTGTTTTTGCTTAAAAATAAATTAAATATTAAAATACAATTATGGTTTGTTTTGCATTTGGTTGTAATATTTATATAAGTTATATTACCTAACAAAAAATAAATGAAAACTTAAATTTACAAATTTGCTTTTTAAGTTAAAAAATCCATTTATTTTATACAGTATCTGTTGAACCAGTTCCTAAATTCATCAATATACCACATATATTTTATTCATCATGATATCATTCTCAATCAATCAATTAAATTTTGCATAACCTGTTTACAGCTTGGTTCACACTCTAAGGTTAAATTGTCAACATTTAAAACTGTCACAGTGTTTATTGACAGAAGTCGATTTTACAACGTTAAAATTTTAATATAAATTATGTTATATTGAAACTAAAAACTTACAAATTGTGGTTAAAACTAAACTATTTTTTCAAAATAAAAAATCTAATGGGAAATATAAAATAGTTGAATAATGAAAACTTAAAAAATTTCTGTTACATAGCGAAACAATTTAACAATTTTATATAATATAGTATATCAACAAAAAAATTGCGATACAAAAATATTATTGGATCACCCATTATAAGTAGGTATAACGTTGTGAAAGAGGTTGTAATAAAAATAGATAAAAATTCTAAATATACACGTATAATAAATGCTTTCAAAATGGTAATGGGTTAATATAATAAATACTTGGTTGATGGTTCTTTTGAAATCATCTAGTTGATGTCGTTGGAGCCGGTGTAGCGCGATTTGTCAAGTGGCTGTGACACACATGTAATTCGTTAAAAGCAGGCAGCCAACGTGACGCCACCATCCAAGTTGGCTTTTTGACTTTTTGCGAAACCGCCGCATTTTTTACCGCACTGGCATGTTTTGATGTACTCGCGGCTTTTGTTTTTTAATGTCGCAGATTTATGAGTCGCGCTCGCGAGAGAAGAGAAAATGCTTTTGGATGTGCAAATGAGATTTTCTACCGCCTTCGCCGCCCTACGTCCGTAATTTTCAGCGGAACGCAAACGAAAAATATTATTCATACACGTACAACTGTCACTCTTATTAATTAGTTTTTATATGCTCTTCATTATTGTACGCCTGGCTCGTCTAGTTTAATGAAAATTTTTCCAGAACTATAACTAAAAAATTAAATTAATTATTAAATTACATGTACTTTTAATTTAAACATATCACCTGTTTGTTGATTTTATAAATACACAACCATGGCAAACTTAGTTATTATTTAATCACATGACATTTTAATAAAAAGAAAAACATAGATAAGCAGACATTGGCATAGTTGGTTAAATTTATTACTTTAACCTTTGAACTAGACAATCCAGTATGTATCAAATATCTGTATAAAACATGTGAGACTTATCATAACTTGTCGAAAAAAAAACAGATAAATTCATTTTAAAAGATTTATTACAAAAGTTTAAAAACATGTAGACCACACAATGTCATTAAATGCAATGTTATTTCATAAAAAAGTATTTGTATTTTCTTTTAGGTAAACATAAAGGTTGAGTGGGCTTGTTTTAAAATTTACGTTAATATTACACATATAAACATTTTGGTGAGAAATTTTCTCATGAACGGTAATAAATCAATCTTACATCAATCGCAAACTCTTGAATTCAAATTAAAATTCCAGAGTGGAGGAAGCCGTAAATAACGTTGGCATAAGCTTACTAATTGCGATACAATTATTCAGCGTAATATCTCACGACAAAACTAATTGTTCGCAATCGTATAGGTTTTATTTTCTAACCCATCGAGGGCACTTTTTCAAAAAGCCAGACTCGTTAATTGCGACAAATTAAATTAATTAAAGTCGAAGTAATTGCTTATTACAACGCCATTTCCGCCAATTACCTTATCGTTTATAAAAACGATTAAATTATTTACCCGTTCGAACCAAGAATAAGCATTTTTAAGTAATTATTTGCATAAAGGAAATATTTTAATAAGATCTAAATACCTGAGTTGCGTGTATTTTTTATATTAGTTATACAGGTTTTACAACATACTTTTTTAAAATGTTGGTTCCATTTATAGAAAACAACTTTTCAGAAGTAACATCTCGCCATTTAAAATGTAAAGGTGAACTTATAAATACACAACGCAAGGGTAGAATTAGGAACCGTGACTAAAAAATTAAATATGTCACCAGAAAATGAGCGCCATTAATAATGCTCGTAAAATTAAAGCATTACAAAATAAAATTATATTTAGATCAAAGAAAAAATCATCAATAGGCTTAGCTTTCGATTTTCGAAGAATACCTAGTTTCACTACTGAATGTTAGTGTTTCGGTAGTCACAGTAGTAGCATATTATATAAGTAATTATTAAATTCAAGAAAGAAACATAAAACTGATTAATGAATGGTTTTTGTGTGTTCTTGTTAGTGTTCAAGACTCATTTCCGAATTAAAAGGCGATACGTTTAAGGGTCTGGTTCCTTAATTTAGGAAACACCATGGCTAACTGGATGCAAGTGTGTCATTTCGCGGACACATGTTTATATGAAGCGTGTAACTTAAATTGGACTATTAGAGGAGTAGACTTTTGCATATGTCACTCATTTCTGGTTTAAACTTTACTTATAAGCATATCGGAGCTCATTTGCTCTAGAAATGTACATGGTCATTGTTGACAATCGAATAGAATGTAATCGAAATGCGAGTAATTTGTTTTAATTGGCGGACCACGCGAAGCACCGATCTAATTGTTGTTTTTTGTTACAGGATCATATGACTCTTCTTTTTTTACGTTGGATAAAGAAACAATCGATCATCTCGATTTGGGAGTAAAACAATTCAACACGAAGGAGTAAAGGGATTTTATCATCTGTGAAATATAGTGATTAAGTGAAATAATGCGCCTGTAGTGCTTAGGAGTGATTTGTGTATAAAACTCAGTGAGAAAATTGCCGCTGTGATCTAACCTCCAAACAGGAATTAGCATGAGTTCATACTTTGCAAATTATATGCCGGACATGCGAAATGGTGGTGTAGTGTCAGCAGAACACCATCAGCAGCACTATGGAGCGGCAGTGCAGGTGCCTCAAGGCGGCGGTGCCGTCCAAACGGATCCGAACCCCTGTGCAGGAGACCCATCGGTGGTGGGCCTGCGACAGGGTGTCCCCCCGCATCATTATGGTGGCCCACCGACAGCCGGCCAACCTCCCCAAGGCATGCCGCCCTACCCTCGGTTTCCCCCCTACGACCGAATGGACATCCGAAATGCTGGCTACTACGGCGCCCAACAACCCCAAATGGACGGTTCTGGTTATCGGCCCGACAGCCCCAACAGCATGGGGCACATGGGGGGAAACGCACCCAACGGTCACCAAACCCCCGTCGTGTACGCGAGCTGTAAGCTGCAGGCGGCGGCGGTGACGCAAAATGGCGTTCTCGGTCCCACCGGCAGTCCGCCCCTAGACACGCAGACCATGAACAACCACCACATGGGCCATCATATGCAAGAACAACACCCGCAACATCACCAACAGCATCCGCAACATAATATGATGTACGCTGGCCAGCAAAACAATATGCATCAGCAAGCGCCGCCCCCGCATCAGCAACCGCCACTCCAGCAACAGCCAGCACAAGGCCAACAACCCCCCAACAATACCGCTTCGGCATTACCTAGTCCACTCTATCCATGGATGAGAAGTCAATTTGGTAAGTTATTAAAAATATGTAAAAAAAAATATGTAAAAGTTGCTAATTTGATGGCATCACATCCTGTATAATTAATGATTACTATTAATTTAATTTACCTTTACATGTAATTGCATTAATTCAAATTACCTCGACGTTGCTTCTGAATTAGATTAAGATACCAACCCAAAAGCGTCTACATGTAGTTTATCTTTAAATAAATTATACTCATTAAACAAAGTACTTTAAAATGTCCACTTGATGTTTAAAAGGACTGTAGATTTTTTAGTTATGCAAATCAGGCCAAGTCTAGGTAAGAATTACATAATGCAAACGAATTTTTTGGAGAAAAGGTGGTCGCCTTCAAAAGGTTGACATTTATTGTTCTGACACAAAAATTTACGATCTTTCTTTGGAAATTGTGATACAATTTTACATAATGTCTCAATTTTCATGGCAGGGGTCCTGTCGCAATCATTTCAAACGATTGCCCTCGATTTTTCATATATTTTGTCCAAATTGAATTTTAAACTGTCAATAGATATAGATGTAGGCAGCATCGAACATTTAAAATTGCAGTTTTGCTTTTTCATAGCTTTTTCCCGTGTATTTACATTTACAAATTTGGATTTTCTAGTTTTGGGACAATTGTTATTTATACAAGTTATGTATTTGTAGGATATATTTAATTCGGGATATGCATTAAGCAAGCAAAATTAATTGTGATTGGCTTGAAATGCATTTTTTAAGTTTAACATTGCAGGTGGTCCATAGTGACAAGTTTAACTTTTAGCTTCGCTGGCAATAAAATGTCCTGTGGTTTTATGACTCTGTTATGACTTGTTGTACAAATTTTAACATAAAACTTTTAGTTTGTGCCAGTTTCTCATACCATTTACATTCTTCTTGGTGAGTCTTGTTATTTTTAAGAAACAAATCCAAACTAACAAAGAAGTTGTGTGTATCATTGTGTCTTATTAACTTTTGGGATATAAATTGATTAAATTTAGTTTTTTCTTGGGTAATTAAATAAACAGTGGAGTTGGTCGCAGTTTAACCTTATAATAATTACCCCACGAAGAGGGTTAAATAATTTACATTTACTATCAAATCTCTTGCCGTCACAATATATCACCGGAATGCTTATTTAATGGCGTCGCCGGCTGCCGGAAACGCCCGAAACGCGGCCGAGACGGGCTTCGGCCGCCATAAATTCCGCTCAACAAGTAGCCTATATACACCGTTGGCGGTTATATTGTTATTACTCTGCTTATGGTTGCCAACAGATGTAAATTCTAGCTCTATTAGCTTAATCGCACTGCCTTAATATCCTTAGCAACTTGTTATCAACCAACTTTTTTACACTTGTTCTTTTTAAGAAAGATAAGCTCTACACCATAACCAAATATTCAAAAACTTAATAAACAATGATTCCTAAACTTGGTTTATAAGTTATTTTAATGGTTCATATTGAATTATTTTAAAGTAATAATATCCATTTTAAGCTCTTTAAAGTTTAAAGTATAAATGACACAATCAACATTTAAATTTATGTTTTAACTAAAACTTAATTCTTCTAATGGTAAATTATTCCAAATTTTCTTACTTCTTAAATTAAATGTTTTATGATTTCCTACTTACCGTTTCATATTCCAATTTAAAATCGAGCTATAAATAAAGGCTTGTCTAAATGAAACCGTTTTTAATTTATCGAATGGGCTCAGCAGCGGATCCCCTATAAATATTTATGTACTGCATTTAATTATTATCAAGTTAACCGGTGCACTCTCGATTGTTTATTTTATTACCATTTGATTCGTAACACACGCACTTACATCGGTTTCAGCAGGACGTAATTTATTGGTCCGACCGATGCCATGTTTACAGTTGTAAAATTTTATGGGCTCTTCATAACTATGCGAGTGTCATCGATGATTTAAGTCTTCATTTGGATCATTTCTTGTATGGTTTTTATTTATTGATTCAACCTTGCTCAATTCATTACTGGGCTTCTCTAAGTTTAATATTTTCGTAGTTTTTAGGTTAACAGTATGTTTGTTAACAGCGCTTATTTTAATGTAACTATGTTTAAAATAATAATACAAATTAAATTTAAGGATAAAAATGATTGTCCGTTTTCATAAAGATATTATCACTTTGCAATAAACAACTTTTTTCTATTTTATTAATAGAAACATGCTTTCAAAGAAACGGCAATCCTAATTTAAAATTAAAATACTTAATCCGTATTGATTTATTACTTGTAATCCGTGCGCATGTTTTAGTTAATTAAAGGATAAGGTTAATAAATAAAAAAGACGTTACATTTCAACATTAGATTTATTATTACACCGTTAATAAAACTGCTAATAGCAATTATAGTAAATAAAAAAATAGATGAAATAAGCTACATTTTGTCTCCTAATAACAAATGCCGTCGGTAAAAATTATGTTCGTTTGGTCATATAGTAAATTAGGTGTCAGGTTGATTTATTGTTATTAACAATAAAAAGAGAATTAGATATAACATCATTAAACTTTGTAATAATTATAATTGGATTAATTAATTCAGAACTTAATTAGGTTTGTCCCATTACTGAAACAAAAATTAATATTTATAAATTGGATAAGTAGAAAAACTATTTATTTATTTTTCAAACATAATGTATTTTAGTTCAATTATTAAGATTGCTATTTGTAGTAATTTATTATTAGTTTCTTAAAAAAAATTGTCGATTTCTAAATTAATAAATCAAGCTATTGTCATATTTTTATCGACTTTCGTGTTTTTATTAAAAATTGTTTATTTCTTGTATTAAAAAGTCAAACATCTAAAAATTAAATAAATCATATACGATTACATATAATTAAAATTTAGTATATTAAAAAAATATAGGCAAGTATGTTTGGTTAAACCAACAAATTGTGGTATTTTTATACCTATCAAAGTAAAAGTGTTTTCAACTCGAATTGGGAACAAACTCTGCACATTTTCTTTTAAAAAATAAAATTTAAATATTTCATTAAAATAGAAAGAAACAAATCCATCATAAAAAAATTGTTCTAAAAAGCATTTTTTGGAAAAATATTAAGTATACTTGTTTAAAATTTAAATTATTACCTATTTTCATTTAAAAATAAAATATTTCCTAACTAACAATTTTTCTTATACGGCTCACGATGTGTTGAAAGGAAATTAACGTTAATTTTTTTAAACCTTTAAAAAATGGGTTTGTTTTATTCCATTTCGCATTCCATTAGCATCGACTCGTGAGCCCCAAAGAAAGATATCACACCCATACAAAAGCTCCGACAAAGAAAAATTACGTTTTATTGTTACGCCGACATACAATTGCATAATCTACGGAATAATAGGACCTCGTTCTTCCATTTTATACGTTCCAGCGTTCATTTGTTCTATTCAGTGAGTTCGGTGGTCCCCGGGGTTTAAATCCGAAAGAAAGCTTAGGCTGTGACCGTACATTCTGGAATTTAGTTAAACGCTCACATTCTGACGTAGTTTTCTTTCGCTTGACGTCCAGTCTAACTCCGATATTTGACATGGGTTAGAATGGAGCCTTATTCATCTGATAAGTCGGTTGCCGAAGCGGGAGGAGGGAACTACATGCATCAGACCGGGTCATTAATCATCCATCTCGACAGCATCTCTAATTAGAAGAAGCTCGAGGTCTAGGAATATGGCTGGTAGACGTAACCATAGTTATTTGTAACGAATTTCTCGGTCTAGATAAAAAGAATATCAATATAAAATACCGATTTCTAATTTTGGAACAAAATACATTTTAAGAGTCCAATTGGGCAACATATGGCCTCTAAGGTGTTCTTGATTACCTACTTTGTTTCTTATCAAAGCATTTTAGTGGTGAGCTCATCTATAAACACAAAAATAGTTTACTTTTTATATATACATAAACGATGATTAATTTAATAGATGATTTGACCATTTTAGAAACAGTATAATTATTATAAAATATAATTTAAAATTTTTCTTAAAAGTTCAGTTCTATACAATTACATTATTTCTGATGTCCTGATGAAGAAAGTGGTTATATATTTTAAGTCCAATCGAAAAACTAAACTCTAAAAGTGTTTAATTGGTGCCATTTTTATTATTTTATTTATTATATTACAATATTTTACACGCGATACTGTAGATACGTTGCTTTAACAGGAGTTAGATCCTTATAATTGCAGTTACGTATCTGCGTATATTTGTGATTTTAACCAGGATTTTAGTTAAAACTTACCCTGAAATCCTGGAAATCGTGTACTTACGGTAAATTATATGTAAATACCCACTTTCTTTATCAGGATTTTTTCAAAACACAAGCAAAGAGCAAAGGGGTCCAAATCTGGAGAATACGGAGGATGCGTAAGCAATTCTCAGACTACTTACTGGATTTTTTTTATGGTTATAACGATTTTGTTAGCTTGGGAATTGTATTGGTAAATCATAATTATTGTCTTTGCCAAATGAGGACGTTTTTATATGTACGTTCATGCAAAATCGTAACAGCCGGTCCAGTTAAGATGTATGTTGTCTTAGTAATTTCACACATTTAACTTTAAATCTTCCAATAGGATTATGCGGTCTTATCGGATGATTTCTGTGGCACCATGATTTGCTTCAACCAATCAAAAAGCAGTGCCAAATAGAGACAAAATTTACTAATCCATTTTAAATGCAAAAGTTGCTCGAAACAAAAAAATCAAAACTTGTTAACAGATTGATCTGAAGTTTGTACAGTAATCGTTTGAAGGAATCGTGCCAACATTTTATAGTTGTGCCGCCATCTTTTGGAAATTCCAAAGACTTATTAATATACCCTCGTATATAAACCCACTTTCTTTATCAGGACGCTTACAGATCGAAAAAGGTTTTAATTGACCTACAAAATTGTATTAATGGTTTTTGGGGTCGCTGAATACGAGTTTGAAAACTCAAAATGGCGGATACGACATGACCGACATTTTTGTCTAAATGGTGATTTTGTGAATTTGCACGCACTAAAAGATAAAAAGGTTTTGGAAGTCGATGATAACGATTTCAAAAATTAAAAATGGATTTTGATAACAGTGCCTGTTTTAAATTCGTAGGTATGTAAAATTCGGTTTTTGCTGCCTAAATTACATGGGAATACATTTGTCTCGTTAAAAGTTCTTTATAAAACTAAAAAAAGTAAAACCATTTAAAAAAGTAAAAACCATATATGCATGTAAGTTTGACCACTTTTAAAGCACGACACTTAGTTGTTTAAAAAACAAAATTTTAATTTTAATCTGATATTGATTGTTGTTGAGAAGACGACGCGTCGATACTTAAAGTGGTTAATTCAAATTATACAATACACTGAATGTGGAAAACCAATTGAATTTAAAAATTAAACGTGGCTTCATGGCTATTGAAAATTGTAAACAATTTAAATCATCAAAATGTTCTGTTGATATTTTTTTCAAATCACGCGATTTTATTGTTTAATATACTTAAAAGAATTCCAAAGTATAGTTTTGGTAGTTTTTTGGTATTTAATTACCTTGACATTGAGACACATCTAAAATTAATTTTAAACAGCAAGTAATGATCTTAAATGAAAACAACCTTTACTTCCTTAATTAAAACGAATTACGTATAGTGGTCGTTAAAAATAAACTTTCAACCAATTAAAAAAACTTTTGTTACCTACATTGAAAATGACTTGTGTAACTTAAGCATTAGGAAACTAGATATTCGAAAACCGCTCATATTTCCAGACGACTTGATTAATATTGATTAGAAAATGGAGGGTGGTGTGTTTCTGCACATGTGTTGTTTTTTTTGCTCCCACATCCCGTTGCGTTCGTGTCGGAAAGGAGCATTCGTCTTCGTCAGTTTCTTTCATGTTCGCCACACACACCCCTGGATTTTTCCCTGGCGCGCCATGGCGTCAGGGGAACAGAAATAAGTTTTTGAGCGCTGCCGTCCGAAAAAAATAACATTATATATTAATATTCAAAAAAAAAAATAAAAGCAATATGCCAGGTTAATTGCAAAATGCTTAAAGTATTAATTATCGATTTGGGAAATTGTTTGGAATTGTTTGGAATTCGCTAAATCGTTTTTGGATACAACCAATTGGCGATATTTGTATCTTAGTCACGTATAAAGGACAGGTGACATTTCTTTATATGGTTCAAAATTTTATCACATCGCAATTATTAAACATAAAAGTTATATTGATGCGTATCATTTAATGCAAATAAATTTCTGTAATCAAGTGTTAATTTCATAAAATTTCATAATATTCCCAGGTCAACTCTCAAATCACTGATCTTGATAAACTTCGGGTTGCCTGAAGAAAGAATTTGCCGGTTTTAGGACTGATTAGTTTTTAATTGCTAAGCAATTCATTCAATTTCGTTATGGTTTTTGAGATGTAAATTAACATTGCAGGTAATTTCTTAAACGCGGCGCCATTCATCACCATCATTTTCTCGGGGAAACCTTATTATACGAGAACTAATCGTAATTATTATGTGGAGAGGAAAATTCACGGGATCGAACCACTGTGGCGTCCGCGAAAGATTTATGCAACATTTATAAACTCATTATCTTAGATACGAGCCCGAAACGCCCTCAGCTGCTCTTTGATTGGCGTCCAGTTCTGGTCCCATGCTCTCTCGATCTCTATAATTATTTCTTCTTCGAGTTTTTTGTTGTTGTCGCAGTTGCCCAGATAATATTTTTATAATGATAAGGTGAAAAGGACGATTATTTCCACCTCATATGTATGATATTTATACAACTAGTAGTGCTTTTATAAAGAAATAATTGGAAATTAATTAAAACAACTATAAATCATACAATGCATAACAAATTTGCTTTGAGCAGAAACTGAGAAGTTATTAAGCATTGCATTTTTGTCGGCCAGTAATTGTTTGGTTGTTTTGTTGCTTATGATTAAATTGGGAACGGGTGGCCGGGCTGGGGCATTAATAAACGTCGAAACGGGCGAAGAGTTTAAAAATTCACTCGATTCCCAAAAGGTTTTTCACTTATCTAATTAACGATATTAGATTCGGATGCAGCGAGCGGTGATGAACGCCGCTTTGCTTCGGACAAGACACGCAATTATTTTTACTCGTCTCTTCTGAATTTGATTTATTTCAACACTGACGTGCGTCCCGATTAGTTCGATGGTTCTTTAATTAAGGCCTCTTTTTTCGTTTTACGTTCCGTTTCGTAAATAAAGGTTTTTTTCACATGGCGGCCATATTTGAAATATTGTTTGTTAAGGTCGAATATATATTCATTAAAGTACAACTCAATGGTGGAAAGTTTTTTTTAAAATTTTGTATCGAAATATCCAAAAAATTTTATTTAATTTAATGAGTTTAACATTTTAGCGTATTTTTTTCATTAGGATAAAGAAATGATCAACATTTTGTAGAAAATACTTATTTTATTGGATGTTTTAGTCTTAAATCCTCATATGATAAAATTGTTCTTCAGCAAAAACTTAAGCCTTTGTCCTATTTTAAACGTCATGGATTAGCTGATTTCGTCTTGAGACAAATTTAGTTGATTATTTAGAGAAACAGACCTATACATTGGCTTTCAAGGAGCAGTGGTTAAATATCATTCTACTTCTTCTTTACAACCGGCAAAAGGTCATAAGGTTTTTGAAATATTATATTTAATATTTTTTTTATGGATATTTTCTTCGAAAAATCGTTTTTTCCACTATTAGGTTAGATATTTTCAAAAACCTGACTTGGTTGTATTTATGACACTTAAAATTTGGTATTTCTTAGTTTATTGCCATGGCACCTTGGTAAACAACTTTAACATGTAGATGCTTTGTATTTTTGGTATAATTTAAACATTATATATTTTAAATAAGTATCAGACCACACACGACAAAAAACAGTAATTTAGAACAGTAATCTAGACAATATATTATTCGATATAATTGAGGCCTGTCAGAGCAAATTCAACAATCTCCCATCAGACTAAAACTGAGCAAATTGAGATAATTGATTTTGGTATTTTAAATTCTAAATTTGTACTTTTTTTGTTGGTATAGTAGCCAACTACAAGGTCTCCAGGATGCATGGTATAGGTGAAATCTATAATTATAAATTGAAGATTGCTGACTTTGATATGAATTTCTGTAGATTGCTCATTTTGTTGTAAACGTTTATGGAGATTTTAACTAGTTACAATTTTGCAAAATTTAGTAAAATAAACAAAAAAATAATTGTATTTTATTGCTTTAATGGTTATAAAATTTAACTGTACAATCAATGTGGGAAAATTCTGAACTGGACCACATAAATCTGGAGTTTCTTCTAAATCTGGGACCAGTTTTTATAGTACAACTCATCATCTTCTTTCCACTGCCCAGTAATGTTTTACTTGCAAAGTTTTGGACATTATCAGCCTTTTCTTGCTTTACCTTTTCGTCTTATTTTGGTATAATAGCACAAAATAAACAATAGAACTTAACAGTATGTACCAGTAAAAAAACACAATTAAATCTCTAAAATACGTTATAACGTCAAATGTCAGGATATCAGGTGACACAAATTACTAATTTCTAATGGTGGAATTGGAGATTGTCGACTTTGCACTAAATGTCATTTTAGTCAGGATTTAGCTCCTTTTGCAGCACATAGAATATATCATCTTATATATAATTAGTTGAAGTACATTCTCCGCCAAAAATCTAATTTTTGACCAAAAGTGAAGATGACAGGCCTTAATTGTACTCATTGATTTACAAAATTAACTAATGCTCGTGAGGTTTTATTAGAAATTTTATGATTTCAAATAGTACATTGAGAGGAATACTGTTCTGCGCAACAATGGTCACTGTTTTCTTTTCTCCATTCATGTTAATAAAAAGCTAATGTTTTTTGTTCTTTTCAGAGAGGAAACGAGGAAGGCAGACGTACACGCGGTACCAAACGTTGGAGTTGGAGAAGGAGTTCCATTTCAACAGGTACCTGACGAGGCGGCGGCGGATCGAGATCGCGCACGCGCTGTGCCTGACGGAGCGGCAGATAAAGATCTGGTTCCAGAACAGGCGTATGAAGTGGAAAAAGGAGAACAAGACCAAAGGAGAGGGTGGTTCCGAAGGTGGTGGCGATGACATCAGCCCGCAGGGATCGCCGCAGTGAAAAGTCTCCGCGAACGAGACGTAACCCATGTACCTAAAGTCATATTGTAGTCATTTTTCCGATGCATTTGCCCTCGCCGAGGATCCTTACCGTCCTACGGAAGGGCCAAGTGTCCAAACTTTCGGCAGGAACTCTCTCCAAATTCATCCACACAACCGTTATGACCTCTCGACAAGAAAAGTCCTTGTATGTGTATAACTAGTTTCGAAGTGAGACGCGGTTATAATAATTTGATTTATATATATTTATTTATGTATTGTAGATAAAATAGCATTTTTTTTATTAACTTACTTATTGTTGCGCAAGTTTTTTGGACTCAAGAACTGTACGAAATACAGAGGCCAGTGCAATGTGCAATGTGCAGATGGTGGACTGCGACGTCTTAGTGAAAAAAAAGAAACTATACCGGTTAAAAATTTTGTATAAATATTTTATATATATACACCTAAAATATTTTAAACTTTAGTGGTCATTAAAATTTAATTGAAGACCCTCTGGAATATAAGGTCAGTGACTGGCATTTTGTTTTAAAATGTGTATGTCGCCATTTGAAAATTGCAAGTTACGTGGAATCTTTTGAACATATTTTCTAAATCTTTATAAGAATTCCTTCCAGGTAACTTGTACAGTTTAGATTATTTCAATATTCATAACTTGTTTTTTAAAACCGACCGACGAATCCGTTAAAATGCACACTCACCAAACCCAGCACAAATACCAACACAAACTAAATAAATACACATTTTTTTATCAAAATTTCAGGAATTTTACTTTTTATTTATCAGTTGCCAATTAATATTATTATGCTTCGTGTTAGTATTTGTTTTCTTGGTTAGTGCTCATTTTTCATAGTTCGTTGTTTGTTTTGAAAAACAGGGTATTTGTAAAGTGTACCGTAGAGTTGATTTTTTTGAAATTGTAGATATTTCGATTGTATATGTATATTTGGTTGGATTTAAAAGCATACACTATGAGTAAGACTTGTAAATAAATCCGGTTAAAGATAAAAAGGATATACGATATACTTAAAATTATGCACTTTCATGCCAAAGCTAGAAGTAATATGTTGTCTATCCATGTAGGATGATGAAAATACAAGAATACTCCAAATCAGTTGCATTAATGGGCAATGTTGAAATTCGAAATTAAGGTTTTGGTTTTTTGAGAGAGAGATATTTTGTATACACTTAAATTAAATTGGAAAAAACGCAGCTCATTAGGATTTAAATCCCGTTGAGTTGCAAGTGATAATTAATAACGAAATACGTAAAAACACTGCTACAAAAAAAGTATACGTAATCTTAATTATTTTATTATCAATTCAGAGCTATGTAAAATGGTTAAACAAATTAAATAGCGATACTAAAATACTTAAAGATACTCGGAATTTAAAATTTTGTAAATTATTTGCAATCCTATTTAGATTGTTTGATCGTTTATGATATTTATACTCTAAATTTTAGGAAATATTTGCAGTGTTAGAACTGGGTAAGAGTTCGGTAAATATAGCTTTAAATTTTACTTTTGTACTATTTTATTCGAATATACTTGGCTTTAAAATGCGGATTTCTTCTTATTAAGTATTTTGCGATTGCTTCGTTACAAAAAATAGTAGATCAACGATATAAAAATATTTATTATTGCTGATAATTATTGAACTTTTACCGGACTGTATTTGTACCTATATGGATAAATTCGAGTTAGAGTATAGTAATTCATTGTGCTGTGGTGTAATATTTTAGAAAATAGGAAGTACTAAGTTCGACAGAAAATCTTATAATTTTAACAAAGTCGAGTTGTTTTTAATATTATTTTGTAAATTTGAGATTGAGATTATTGTAATATAAATTATTTTTTATTTTTAAATCCTAACTATATAAATTATGTTTTGACTTTAATAATTTAATTCTTCGGATTTCTGTCTTGTGAATTTAAACTTATATAAATATATATATACATAACGTACATATAATTAATATATGTATAAATAAATATTATTGTAAATTTAAATGTTTTTTGCATTTTCGAGCCCGTCCCAATTTTTCAGAAAAATGTGGCAAAAATTACCTAAGTAAAATTATTTTATTATAGTGAATGTGCATGTTAACGCTTTATGAATGTTATGCAATTTTATTGGTTTTGGAATGCTTTGTAGTAGAAATATAGAACCAGATAAGCATTTGGTATTTTAAATTTCTGAAAATATTTTATTTATTTATTAACTTTATTTACCCCTACTTTGTCAAGCAGTGCATTAATAGTATATTATTCAACTCCTATTTTATTTCTTAATTTTAACCGGTGGGCGAAATTTTACTCAGCCCACTAGTTGTAGAAATAGCATTTTGACGACTTTGGCTGTAAGTTAATATTGAAAAAAAGGGAGGTTATAACAGCTATCAGATTTCAAATAAAATATCGATACGCTCGTGCGGTAACACTCGAGTAAAATCGCCTCTTTTGACCAATACTCGCACACAATATTTTATTTAACTACCACAAAAAATTTAAAGACAATTTAATATGATATTATATCTGACATTTGACAGCTATCAAGCAGTTTTAACCTCACTTTTTACCAATTTTAACTTAAAGCCCGTGGGAAAACTAAAGTTTTGGCCACCGGTTTAAGCTAAGAAATGAAATGGGTGTTGAATAATATTATATTATTTTACGAGGATGGCGAGACGGCCGTCGAGAGACGCAAATTATCCAAATAAATAATGCGCATAATTTCAAATGAAATACTTTAACTACTCCAATTAGTAGATAATTAATTGATATTTATAAATTAAATCTGAAATTTGTCAGATGGTAACCTCACCTTCTACAAATTTTAACATAATAGTCGCCTTCTCCTAATTTAAAACTGGATTGGTAAATATCACCGTGTATAGTGAAATAGGACACTAATACCCGTTTGCACCAACATATGGCTTAATCAAGATTAACTAATCTCAATTAAATTATAACCGTGATTAAATTTACCTCGGTTTGCACCATCCAATTTATAGCTAATCCTCTTTTAACTTTGATTAGGTGAAAAACGCGGAAAATGTGTGTTGGTATGTTGGTTATAACCATATATTTTGCTGATAGGTTCGTACCACTGTAGCGTTCAAACGTCAAAAACGTCTACAACTTGTCATCTGTATAATAATTATTTAAAGGGTATATCGTTTTGCCTAAAGCGGTGTGTAAAATAATGGTCATTGCAAATTAAAGAAAAAAGAGTTGAATAAATAAATTTCGTTAATCAATAATTTAATTATTCGGTAGGTACCTTAATATTACAAATTAGCAAAATACTTGTTTTAAATTGTCTTCTGGCCAGCGTACCGGCGGCGATATCATTTTGGTCGTCATAAATATTAGAAATTTGTCCTTCTTCTATTAATCGATTCAGCACGTGGGCATCTAATTCATCCACTATTGGTGGTGTTTCAAAATCTCCCATATCCAGCGCATTGTTACGGAGAACGGCTGCCGCAACAGGCAATTAGAAAATCGGCCAAACAAACCCCGTATTCTGCAATTATTGAAGATTGTAGCATCATGCACGGAGCCTGGCCACCTTGCCACCACGTTCAATATTGAAAAATATTCGTCACCTCCAGGAGATTGTATCCAACTACTCGAGGAAATGTGCCACATTGAATAATCGCTGTTGGTTTCTTCTTAATTCATCTGGAATAGTTGAAAAACGCACATTTATTGTATAATCTTGCGATAGCTTCAGATACTGCGCCAAACTGTTGACAAATGCATCCCCCCCCGTTGCAACGCGTTGAATAGAGATGAAGACATAAGTCAACCTTTTAAAACGGCAAAATGAGCTTAGACTACTGTTTTGCCAAGCAACGGCAAATTCTAATCATGATTTAAATACTAACCGCCCGACTATTCACCGGTTATTTAACCAACCCCTTAACCATGGTTAAGTGAATGGTGCAACGAAGTTTTCTGGATTAGCCAATTTAATCACGATTAAAATGCTAACCCACGTTGGTGCAAACGGGCATAAAGCCTGACCGAGAATAATCAGCTCATTATTCCCGTTGCTAGGTGGGGTGGTTATAATAAATATTATTATATACCAATAATAATAAATATTATTATATACAAAAAAAAATATGCAATATTAGTAAATAAACAAATGTTCCTACTCTATGTTAGTCAAATTTCGTATGGCGTCGGTGCTAAACTCATCTACCTACGTTTGTGTAAAAAGTAACAGCTGTGTGTAAAGTCAGATTGGTAAAAAGTAAGGTTAAAACCGCTTGATGGTTGTCAGATATTAGGTAAAATGTCAAATAAAATTGGCTTTAAATTCTGTTTGTGTTCTGAAGTTAGCTTTTAGTTAAAATTGAAAAAATTGAGGTTGGATTTCAAATGTCAAATAAAATTGGCTTTATATTTTTGTTCCGAGAGCATAATTAAGGTGACCGTGCAAAACCTTTTAAATCTACTATTTATTTTGTTTTTTACATATTATTTAATACCTTGATTTTATTTTTACATTGCTTACACTAGTTACTAGAATACGCTAAAGAAGTATCGCTAGTAGCGCCACCACTCGGCTGTTATCATCGTAACAAACGCTTAGGTCACAAACGAGTGCTTTTGAGAATAAAGCCGGAAAATGTTAAAAAATATCGAAAAAAAAAACGTGGATCGATTTGTTGTGATGGGTGTATTTCGAGAGGAAATCCTGGGTTGGGTTTTTACCGGTTTTCCAATAAACAGTGTTAATCTGAATAAAGGAATAAATTGCATACAGTCTGTAAATATAAATTGTACCTATTAGATACAATAAATACACATTTTAGTAGTGATTAACGTGAAAAGTGTAAACATTTTAATTCAGTAAAAATCGTCAAACAAATAATTCGCGTAAATTTAAACAGTATTTAGCATTATTAAAAGCGTTCCTTAAAGTCTCCACTCAACGCTAAAATACCATTATAATATGTATTATATATAATATTATATTGCCATGAATTCGTAGGTATATTTTGTTGTTTAAAATGCAGTTGTCGGCGTTTTTTAGAGAACTCAAATATAAAAATGATTAAATTTAAGGTTATGTTTGTGCAAACATTATTTTTTACTAATTTCTTAAAAATGTCCAAACTTAAATATAAATTATATTAGGTAAAGTTATCATTACTTAATTCTGCACCAACAAATGTACTTACCGAATTGGATTCTTTGGCAAAACATGAAAATGCAACGATTTAGTTCTTGAATTTTATTTACAATTAAAAACACAATAAATCACCCTGATCCCTTTGATAAAATACACACTCTAACGT